AGTAGAGTCAATTCAGTTTGAAATAAAATTACATAAACTAATCATTTTTTCAGTTTTCAGGATATTAATCCCTTCCGTGTTCATTGTCAGGATCTCACTCACGTGTCCAGATGCTACTTGGGTGGGTGAAAGACATTGGGCACAATGACCAATGATAGTTTGTTATAATTTTATAAAAAATTTCTCAACGACTGACATTGTGTTAGCCTTTTCTCAGTGACTGACTTTTTCTTATTGTTTCATTTGCACAATGATCAAGATTATTTATTCATAAATTCATGTTTTAAATTAGTAAATTTTTATCCGAGAAAGGAGTGTGGATAGGGTGGGTCTTCAATCGCAGTACATTCCACGTGGTGAGACTTGGACAATTGGTATTATTTGATATATAATTACTAATTGCATTATTATATAATTGTATAGTTAAACTTAATTAATTACTCTATATATTATATAGTTAAACTTAATTAATTAAAACTAAAAATTAATTATATAATTGATACAATTATTAATTATATGGCAATTAATACGAGCTGATCGGCTGCGATTTCGGTTAGATGTTTCTGTAGATGTACATATTCATTAGATTAATGAAAAATAAATAATATGTAGTTTTGATACATGGGTAACTAGTTTGTAAGCGTATGGAAAATATTTTATCTGAATTTAGAAAGTCTAGGATTAATTATTTCTTCTACGACGATTATATCTGTAAATGAGAGGGTTTAATTTCTCTCTTATTATGTCGAACTGTTGATAAAATTTATTTGAGCTAATAGATTCTTTAATAACTTTAGAATTTTAATTTAATGCATGAAAAAGACACTTATAAAGAATCGTAATACCGTGAAACGTGGATAGAACTCTTATATAACTCTGATATATAATATAATGTTTTTGATTAATTACTAGCTTCACATATTGAACATTTCTAATGGATTGTTAAACTCTTAACTCTGCTAAAATTCTAATGGACTTCATATTTCTGGCGTTACTTGAGCAACTTCGATCGTTTTATTTAGTGTAGTTCGCCAATTCATTGTAGTTGTTTAAGAGTGCGCTAAAAGATCACGGATTTCTTAGTATGTCGGTATTTCAGAACATGGGACACAAAAAAAGTATTGAATGGTTAGAAAAAATTGAATTGAAAGTAAATTTTAATACGAATTTATTGATGAAAAATGAGATATTTAATAACAGTAAATGAAATATGGAAGTGCAGTCGTCAAAAGTATTTGCATATTCTATGAAAATTTGTCGATATTTTGAACTGTATCATAACTTTGTGAAGAAAGAAAATTTTGGAACAATTCACTTGTATTTTCAAAGATATTTTAACATCACGTAGCGTATGGAATAGTGGAAATACTTTTCTTCAAAACAATTGTAAAAATTCAAATGTCCGTAGAAACATTGAAAAATTTCTTTACAACTTAAATCCGCCACGTTTTCGAAGATTGAAGTCTTTTCGTTGTGACAATTTCTTAAAACTTGTTGTACGATTTTTTTTTTTTTCGTTATCTTGTTGAACTTTGAATGCTAGGGTTGAACGACAGAGATTTAAGAAATCTTAATGTTTCGTTAGGTTGATGTCCATTTGATACGAACTTAAACTTCTTTGTTTCATAACACTACCTCTTGAAACAAAGTGCTTTGTTGCTTATGCAATATCTTATTTTATAATATGTATTATTGATAAACAAAATAAAAAAGAATGGAAAATTACGAAAATATACACTGCATGTGTGATGTCTTCTTAATGCAGTGCTAACGAATATTAATTTATGTACTCATATGTAAATATGTGCAACATTAATAGCGAAGTGTTCAACGCAATCATATTATAGCCTGTTAATATATGATCAGTTAATATATGATCATATATTAAGTAATTCTTTGCAGCTCTTTTTGCTGCATTAAGTGAAGAGCAATAACTGAAATATATTTCCACAATTCCAAGACGAACCTTAGAACAAAACGCAAAAGAATGCTGTCATTCACACATAACATTAATTTAAATAGTGACAGAACAATGATGACGCATGTCAGATTTAATTTTCTAAAATAATTGATTTATTAAAAAAATTACTATTCCTGTAGTCATTGTAATTGAAGACATACATATATCATATTTACAAAGAATGATCACACGTAGTGTGACATTGTCTGTACAAAGATATAGAATTTCGATCATCATACGCTCGTTTCGTAATATAATCGATTTACGACGGTTTGAGTGGATGATAAATTCAAAGATGAGTGGCATTGTCAATTCGCTCATGCTATTTGCATTGTCAATTCTCCAGATTATAGTTCTAGATTGGCTAAGGAAAAAATGCGCCTATTTCTGCTAACCTGTCTTGATCGTATGTACGTACGTACTTACATTGTAATTAATAGTCATATCAGAAAGTATGTCATCCATCTATTTAGCCTCATATTTTTAGAAAGTAAAAAAGACCAATAATCTTGCTCTACAGTTTTCGCGTGCAAGGTGCAGACCAGAATACAAACACCTATTATGGGAGAATGCTCCGAGATGAAAGTATATACATATCTTTCAGCGATGACCCTTAAAATTAACTTAATCTAACAATAAACCTTAAAACAATCTATGATAAGAGATTAAAATAAGTCAAAGTAACAGAATCAAATCTACAATTTCTTCAAAATGATTTTTTATGAATCTAAAGGAGATTGTAGATGCTCTGCATGCAATGTATACATATAAATTTTACGAGTAGTATTCTGCATCTATTTATTTAATTTCGAGTGAAATTAAAGAAACTAAAATAGTGAATTTTTTTAATTTAATGTTTCCTCAATTCTGTTTTTCGTCTTAACGTAATTATTTCTCCACGGTCTAACGTATAATTCGCCTGAATTTTTTAGAAATTTTCAGCTGTTAAAAAACGCTTTAAATTTTAACTAACGCGAGCTAACAATTTTGTAGAGATTACGATCGATTGCAGCAGATACGAGTAAGATCTTTTTATAAATATCTTTAAACGAGTAAATTTCGAAACTCGCTAATACAGTACGTGTGATAATATTGAATAAATAAACGCGAATTTGAAGGATTAAGCAAAGAAAATCAAGATACCAAGCGTATCCCCGTGACGACGGGAAACAAATCTGTTCATTGAAAATCGTACAATTTAATTATAAAATAAATACATCTCTCATTTGTTGCTAATGTATTGTACAGGCTTCTTTATTCTACGCATTGAATGTATACTTCGCGTCACATTCAATCGGCTTCTCTCGAATTGGGGCAACACGAATCCCGTCGAATCATTATTCTTCATACATGGGTAATAGAAAACGCTTGTAGTATGTCTTCTTATTAGAGATCAGTTTTAAACAGACCCGCGTGACTATCACAGAAAACTACCGAGAGTACAAAGCAATTGTATCACAATTAGATCAACCAAGTATTCTAACACTCTAGCATTTCAAAGTTCGTTCGACTTTTGACCACAAAGCGTTTCCAGTGGCCGAATGAGTGGTCTCTTTTGTCGTTTTTTTTTTTTATCGACAATTTTCCCTCGAAAACGATCGATCGAATTTACCCAAATGACTAAACACCTTGTAACCTCGTATACGAGAAGAATCGATTGCTCGCGGCTTCTTAATCATAGAGATTAATTTACATCCGTCGTAAATCTACCTCGATGATTGAACGACACAGCTAATTCGAGTGACTAAGATTTACAACGAGTCGTAGAGAAAGAAAGAACAAGAAAGTTCATTCGTAATAGATGATTTGAGCAATAACAAAAGCGTAACGATGTTCCGCCGCCGTGTCGGTGACATCTTCCAGATACACCTTACTTAATCTTCGTTCCGAAACGTTGCAAACGATACGTGACAGAAGAACGATAAGAAGAGCTTAGAAAGAATGATTTAGCAACTCTCTCGCGAGACTGACTCGAGGCGATAATAGTGGCGATAGGTGTAACGGTTAGGTATCATTGCAACGTTTCCTTACGTTTCTAACTCGTACATTTGCCTATACATACATATGTACATACTCACATTACAACCGACAGTCTATACACACGACATACATAGAACTCGCACAGAAAGCGTGAAAATGTGTATATGATCTCATTCAAACGCACCCTCATCCGTACCGGAGGTAATTTAGTTGATGAATCTGAACTAATCGAAGTCGAATCTAATCTAATGTATCCTTGATATCAAGCATGATTTGCGAAAAAAATTTGTCTGCTTGATGAACTCGCGTTCGTCCGTCGTAATCCAGTTCGCACAATACATTTTTCAATGATTATTTTGATTATTTTTAATCAACGAAGGCGATCGACACATTGTAGCGTAATTCAAAAGCGCAAAGAGCGTAATCCAATCTTTGAAATCGACGTCCTTTTGGAAACGAAATTGAAAAATATATGAAAAATATGGATAATTTTCGGTACCAAAACTTGTTTCATTTGTCTACTCTATCGTTCGCAGTTTGTCAAACTGAACGTGAATATGTTTCTCGGTATACATATTTTGATATTGTTGTCATAACAAAGAGAGAGAGAGAGAAACGGAAGAAATGTTGGCTGTATATATAGACAAGTATCGATTGGATTCTTATCAAATTAGAAAAGATGAAATAACACTTCTTTCAATTATTCCCGTGTGTCAACATCCACGTCCGATAATTTGAATTGAAAAACGAATGGAAAGAGATTTGACGAAATTGAGTAAGATTGATTTCTTACACTATACTAAATGAAAATTGACCGATTCACAGAATTGAAAAAGCGATCGGAATCGGTAATTTCATCGCTGTTTGTTACGTACAACAACAAACAGTTGGCAACAGACTCGGCAAACAAACGATCCGTCGTAGTATGAATAAAGTTGCCGAACTTAATTCGTTCGTCGATCAGATCAAAATTCTTTTTGTCGATTTTTCGCAGAGTTACCGAATCAGTCAGAAAACCGTATCGTGCGAAGACTGGTATACTGTAATAACGGATATGATCTTATTCCTGGAAACCGCGGTTGTCGATAAACACGCGATTCCTGAGGCCACTGTCCGAGATGTAGCCAGTTGCCATTTTATACTCGTTCGCGTACATCTTGCCGTTCTCCCTCTCGCTGTTCTGTTGTTTCGCGTTCTCTTGGTTCACCTTGGTTTCCTTATTCACCGACGACGTGGCAGCTGTTGTTTTACTCTTCTTGTATGTCTGAACATAGAAGTCACGGAACAGGAAGTAAAACATGATCGCGTGCATTCCGATCCACCAGACGAACGCCTTCGGGTAGTCGCATTCGATGAAGAGAAGTTGGAAAGCGTGGACCATCACAAGGATGAACTGCACCATCTGCAGGGCGGTCAAATATTTCTTCCACCAGAGGTATGGCTGTATCTTGGGCCCGAAGGCGGCCAGGAAGTAGTACGAGTACATCACGATATGTACAAATGTGTTGAGCATGCCGAAGAACGTGCTGTGACCGCCTGCAAATGAAAGTCCCTTGCCGTTACGATCACTGTGACACCCCGTAATTGAGTCTCAAATTTCGAAACACATTGGAAACGTGATTTACGTCATTTGATCGAATAAGTTGTTACTTTCTGTCTTTGAATCGTGAGCTGTGCAAGACTGAGGATCGACTGGTCATCGATACAGTTTTTCCGCTCGTGTGGCAGGTATCGATGGAATTGGCGTTACGTGTTACATACGACGGAAACGTGGGAGATAGTGAAAGCGTTTTATTTTTCGATTAGCGCTCGATTCCCTGTTATTCCGTTGATGATATATTACGAAAGAACGGAAGTTACCTTTTCCAGATTCGGGAACACGGGACGTTTCATCATCGCGGGAATTTCCTGTCGATCGACTTTTTAACCTTCGGTCTTCTGTCCCCGAGTTTTCATGTTTAACGAGCTACCTTCAGTCTTAAAGTCTTTGCTGGGTAAACATGTCGTTGATTTTTAGACGATTAATTGTCGTAAATTAAATGACGAAAAACTACTGGCCAAAAGTTGATACACATTCTGTCTGTGAAATACACGGATCTTTTAATATCAATAGTTTTTTTCTTTGGCTTATTTTAGCATGTGACTAGGTAACAAACTAGCTAACTGTCGTTGTATAATACAGTCAAAAGTCGTTGCAAGAGTCGTTAAACGAATTATAAAACACAAATTCCGTAAAGGTGTCTTGAAAATTTTTTAACCAGTACTGTGTAACGTAGAAACTGCATTGAATTGCACAGCATCGTCGATTGCTCAATTACACATGTCGATCCGCGGATGATGAAAAGATCACAATACAGTAAATATACCGAGTGAAGAAGAATATATTTACCAGGAGTAAATTTCACGCCGAACCAAACGGATATTGGCATAACTCCGTGATGAATCACGTGCAATCTCGTGATTTGATTATTCTTTTTCCTCAGCACGAAGAATATAGTGTCAAAGAATTCGGTGAACTTGGAGAAGTAGTACCACCAGCAGCCATGTGTCATTCGCAATGCAATCGGATTGTTTGAGTAGTCCACTGGTTGACAACGGAGCGAATAATAGCCTCCCCACCCGCTTGCCAACGACTGCACCGAACAAATGATACAGTGAGCGTAGCATCGAAGTTTCGATTCAACAGCGTTTGAAAATCTTTCACACAGAGAGAAATATTTTCGTACGTCTTCTCTTTAAAACGTCTCGCATACCTCGTAAAACAACCACGTGGAGAATGCCACTTGGAAGAGATTGTAGTACAGCAGGACTTTCTTCAGTTCGAATGGTTTACGATTTTCCATGAGCTTGGGGCCGAGAACCTTGACGAAGTAGGCGTAAAACAGGCAGATGAAGATAGTCGGGAACGGACCGCTCATCATTGCCCAGTTATTGACCCTTGGATCGCTCTTGTTGTCCATCAGATCCCGGTAGCTGTCGTATACTGCTGTCACAA